TTAGGGTGGATTGGATTCCCTTATATTTATGGCTGTAAGTGTAGGATGGTAGTGATTTCTTTTGTGCTGAAAGTTCATATACAAGGATTTTGTTCTTTGCTTCCAGAGTGTTTTCAAGAAAGTGAGCATCTCAAAGAGAGCCTCAAATGTTGTCTATTACATCTCTTTGGAGCTATTGTGGCTGGTGGGCAGGTGAGAATATATTAATATCCTTTTCTTAATCATTGGAATGTAGGACTTACATCTTTATTGCATCATCACTTTGCGGCTTGTGTTTTATGAATACTTTCCAAGTATGAAGAATTTGGAGTAGAAATAGGTTAGTTATGACAAGATGGAATGCAATTGCTGTTTTATGGGACAGACTGTAGTTCAGAGGTAAAATGCACTCATGCGCCTTTTAATATCTTGAGAAAGATCCTTTCCAAGGGAGACAGAACTGAGCAATGAAGGTGAACAAAATGGTCCAATAGGCTGTGATTGAACTCTGTGATTGAAATCCCATGTGCTAATTGCTTAAAATAATAAAAGAGAGTCTATATCAGTCTGTCACACAATACCCGAGCACCACACTTTTGTTCCCTCTTACCTGAATTTATGACAAGGCAGCTGAAACTATTCTGAAGAAAAGTAAGAAAAATCATAGATATATTGTATGTATGCTAGAATTCAAAAATGTTTTCATTTAAAATCATATTTTTAATCTTGTTTTTCTCATCAGGATTCAGTTTAACATTAAAACAATGGTACTTAAGATGTTATTGTAGTGAAACTGACTCTTTTCCATTTTTCTTATGCAATCTGATTTCATCCAGTTGCAAGGATGTATAATTAATGAAAATCGTTATAAATAGCTTGTCCTAAAAGATGTTTAGGCTGAGACAATATCTTAAGTAAATAAAATAGTGCCGTTAGATTCAAAGAGAAAGAATATATTCTTTTTCCTGAGATTGGTGAGCATAATGTACTGAAAGTAAAGTTGTGTAAAGATATGTGTAATTTTATGTTAAGAATTTTTCTACAAGAATACACTGAAAATGTAACAATTCTGGCCAATAGGTATCACAGTGGAAAGCATTTCAGCTACAGCAGGTTTGTCAAACTGTCATGGCCACCCCATTTCCGGCAATGGAAAAAAAGTCCCGATACGTTGCAACACGTCACATGACGTTGCGAGTTTGACACCCCTGAGCTACAGGAACATAGAAAATTGACTTATATTGGGCCACACTACTTAGGCAATCTACGTGTGTTTTATTTCCTTTAACTGTCTGAATTTCCAAGATCTCTCATGAGAAGAGTTTTCTTCTGACCCTTAGTGCTTGTGTGTGTTTGTGTGTGTGTGAGCATGTGAGCAATGGTACCACATGACTCAGTAGGCACATGGAATTTTGGGAATATTTTGCGACATTTTTCTTTCTTTTGTTATTAAGTTTTCTTAACAGTTAGCATACTGTGCAATTTTTGCTTCATTTCCTCCCCATAAATAGCAAAATGTTGCCTGTGTTTGACAATTATCACCTGATTTTGATGGCATGAAATTCTCGGGAATCTGAGCATGTTTGACAGCTAGGGTGAAGTACGAACACATCTTCATTAAGTTCTTATGTGATTCCACTATCAAGGGGAAAAGTACTTTGGTATCCAGCCACAGGATTAACGTGCTGATTTTGTCCAAGTCACGTGATTTCAAACTTATTTCATGTGCCTGTTTATGCTTCTTAAGGAGGAATTGTTCCTGATTATTTTGATAGTGAAGAAGTTTTATTATTAACTTTAGAGAAATGCTCTTCAAGCCATCTCTCCTGCCACTATGGAAGTCTTGATGCGTGTCCTGGCGGATTGTGACATGTGGGATAACAGAGACCCAGATGAAGTGAGCAGGAAGGCTGAGCTGACGTTGAAGTGCCTGACGGAAGTGGTGCACATTCTTCTCACTAGTAGTTCGGACCAGCGGCAAGTGGAAACCAGCACCATACTGGAGAACTATTTCAAGCTGCTGAACTCGGATCATGAGGCTTTGCCTAACTCAAGGAGGTCCCGTCAGTGGGAAAGCAGGTTCATTTCGCTGCAGATTCAAATGCTGAGTGAGTAACAGGATCATTTGGGGAGAAGAAAGGCAGGAAGGATGAGATGCTGGGACCATATGTCAGTAGGAAATGGGGCCTTGACCATTTCATTCTCTCTCTGTGGCTTTTGCGATGAGACCACTTTTGAAATAAAGCTGTCAAAATAAGAATCAGTTTGAAACATAAAGCCACAAGCAACATTAAGTAGCTGAAATGTCCATAGTTACAATAAAATGACAGTTCTTCAGTAATCAGTGCAGTAAGTTATTTCCCTGATTTTCAGGGGGCATGGCGTCTGCAAGGGCATATAGACCTCTACACACAGTTTGTTTGCTTTTTTACTAGCTAAATAATTAAAATAGAAACTTTTTAAAATTGTGTTGCCTGGGCAGGAATTAGAAGATAGAGTTTGTCCTCGATTTATGATTTCTGGCTTATTAGGGGATATCAATCGGGGGTCCGGTTTTTAATGACACACTAGACAAATTGGTCCCCAAATTGGTTGTTAAGAGAACATCACTTGTAAGAAGAACCAAGTGGTATGTTGTATGCAAGGATGTTAGCACTCTACAGGGCTGACTGACATTCCATGCCAATGCAGCAAGTGTCTCTTTCATGAGCTTCAGTTAATGCTCCTGACTGAGGAGTGAGTGCAATTTCTATCTATTTAAATAATTTCAGTGCTGACTAAATATCCCTAGAGTGGCTTACTAGAACCAAATTGCAAGAATTGTAATCAGCTAAGTATTCCACATTCTTTGTCCAGTTCACTCAGAAGAGGCAAATACTGTAGAACATCTATTTTCTAGGCAGAAAGATTCCCCACAGGCATTTAACAATTATTTGACAGGTTGGCTTAAGGATTTCAAGGAATTGTATTCTTGTACTTCTTTAAAGAAGGCAGCTTCAGTTGATGGCTGTTTTCTTTTCCTTGGCATGATTTGCAGAATACAAGAAAGTTCAGGAAAATGAGTATCCTTCAGCTACATCTTTTCTGGCTTCTCTTCTATTTGTATTGGCCAGAAATTGCATTACATCTGTTGTTGTTAGAGCATTAAAGAGAAATCTCAAATACTTAACAGTTTCCTTCTACTTCTCCTGGACCTGTCCCTGAGAAGCTTTAATCTGGTTCTGCTGTTTATTCTGTCTGACTTTCTAGAGATCTCAAAGGGGAGAGATGCAAGCTTCTGTCATTCAAATTGTTATTTAGATTTCTGGCCTTGAAATCTAAAAAAATGTACAACATACATAGGGATGTCACTGTGTGTGTGTGTGGTAATTTGACATGAGATAAAATGACACATCCAGAATTGTCCAATGAACTCCAAGGTCAAGCATAGGACTGTCATTTCTAAGCTACAAAATCTGTAGGACTACTAGATGTCAGCAGATTGATATAAAAACTGAAAAAAAATTCTTTGCAGCTCAGTTTCATTAACCCTAATCAGATGGGGGTTTGAAGCTGGTTTTCCCTGTGACCAGTTTAACACTATACTACTTCTGCTAAGTAATCAAAAAATAGATCAATGTTTTTAAAAAAGGCAGGTGGGTTTGATGCTATGTGCTGATGTGAATCAACTATATATTTTTTGTTAATTGCATTGTTAGTAAACAAACCTGTTTTAAAAGTACAATTCTATATTGGGGGTAGGAAGAATTGTATATTCACTCCTTACTTTATATAAATATGTACACATACATATAAAATATCACTCCTACATAATTAGCTATTGCCTTTATGTCCCAATTTGGCTTCTTTGAGCCATCTGATTGTCCAGTGTAAGAGATGAAGATATATCTTTCTGATCCATTAGAGATTTTTCTAAACTTTGGCATACCATAATTTTAATGGTAAAAAAATATTTCTTGCTTCTTCTTTTTTTGCTAACAAAGTACTTCTGTTCCTTTGGAGGGAGACTAAAGCAATGTAATTATTTTAAGATATGATTCTTTCCTCTTTGATTTTTAGTTTTTTCTCTTTTTAAGATGCAATCACTGCTATGTTGGACTGCACAGATCGGCCTGTCCTGCAAGCCATTTTCCTTAATAGTAACTGCTTTGAGCATCTTATTCGACTGCTGCAGAATTGCAAGGTAAACAAAAGATTGTAAGAAAGATATCCATAATCTTTTGGACATGTATTTGATTATAGTTTTAAGTTTAACAGAACCATTTCTAGAAGAAAATCTGATTCTTTAATAAATTTAGTTCAAAGAGTGGATCCAGCTTACTTTTACGCTGACCTAGTTTTAAATAAGTTTTAAGAGTAGTGTCTTGTCCTTATAACACCAATAGCAGGGAAGAGTATGAATAATAATAATTATTCCTTCCATATATATCCTTTTTATTTATCTGCAGTGCTGTGTGAATTGAGACAGCCTTAGAATTGTACTATAGTTGTTAATGGTTTTTTTTATAACCGAAGACTTCGAATGTCTTCTGAAAGCGGTTTATTGCCATTCATGGTATATACTCTACAGTACTGTCTTTCTCTTTTCTTGTTAGTATAATATCTTTTGTTTTTCTTGTATTATTATTATCAGTTACCTGGGAGTAAATCTTATTTAACTTGGTGGGACTTTAGAAATAAGAGAAATGCCTAAGCCTGCAAAAGCAGACTGGCGTTTTTCAGTGTTTCGTAAGTTAGTTAAAGTAGGGTTCCTTTGTAAGTTGGAATTTGCAAACCTGGTTTCCAGGATTTCCAGTCCCTTATTAAAACAAGCCTGATTTTTAATAATAAATGTTAGTGCTCATAAATATATAATTTAATTCAAAATTCACCAAATATTTCCCTCTTGTAATGGGACTTCAGTTATGGGAATGATATAGGTTGAAGCCTGGTTCATCTAGAAGTCATCCAGTTGGACAAAACATGGACAGTGGTGACATGGGTATTAATATTGGAAAAAATAAAAAAGGAGAAGAGTAGTAGGATTTCCTGTCTGAAAATTTGGAGAGGCACTGGCAGACAATGAAGACCATGCAAAGGTCTTAGAACTAGTGGACTAGGGATGTGCAGTATTTCAGATTTGAAGAGGAAAAAGTCCTAAGTGCGCTGGCACCCACATTGCTCTATAGGCAGTTCCTTAAATGAAGTGCATCTTTTCCTGGAATCATACTATACCCTGGAAGACAGCTACGCAATTCCAGGAAAAGATCAGCTGCTTTGTGGAATTATGAACAAATGCTGCAGAAGCACATACAAATACATGCTAATGGCTGACACAGGGAGGGAGAAGTGACTTGTATCAAGAGACTGTTAATTTGTTCCCCACACTATGTGGAAAGATTGATGATCAAGTACAATGGTGGGATTCAGTTGGTTCCCACCACTTCGGCAGAACCGGTAACTAATTTTTTGTTGCCCAGGCCCAGAATGGACTTCCGGAAGTGGCATCCACACAGAGAACCGGTTGTTGACATATTTGAATCCCACCACTGATCAAGTACCATACCTGAGTCTGAATGTATAGGCAAATGGCATCATTTTTGTGGCCCTCCATGGTCCTTTTAGAGAAGTTAGGACCAGATTTTCACCCCATCATGGTCAAGGGAGCATTATGTTTGCTAAACATAAATTCCAAAGGATCTTCTTAAGTGGAGAGTTGAAGTTGCAATTTGGGCTTTCTGATAAATTAGGAACTTCAGCTCTTTGTCATCTTAATGTTGTTCTCACCCAGTAGGAGTTACTTCTGGGCAGACATGAATAACATTGGACTTAGTTTTATTTTGTGTGAAAAATTTTTTATTATCCATCATGAAATGAAATCCCATAATTTATTTCAGCATTTTATTAACAATGTCATTCTTTTTGCAGTGTTTATGAACTTGTTCAATCTAATGCAGCTAACCAAATTTAACATTAGAATTGAATTGAATTGAATCAGATAATGAAACCCTATGTGTAGCTACCTTGTGGTTTAGGGTTTTATTTCAAAAGTCTTTGTTAGATATATGTTTTGCTGCACATCTATAGAGGAATGGAGTGAACATCTATAGGTTAGTCATGCTTCGTATCCATGTTGCATTCTGCATATATGTAGTGGAATGGGTGGCTATCTTTTGATTAGTTAATCTTCGTCACCCATGTTGCATGGGATTCTTTTAATTCCAAATAGATCAAGGTTGGCTAGTCTCAGTTGGGAGATCATTGAGAAGCCATGTTTATCTCTTCTTGGGAGACGATTCCTCGAAAAAAGGCACCATGGTACTGGGTTTTTGTGTATGGTGCCTATTGATTACGTCTGTGCAAATCTGACTCATACCAGTGCTCCTAATTTATCAATCGTTCCAGAGAATCTAAATATGCCATAAAAATCACGCAGGTCATCTTACCAAAGCTTTGAGGCAAAATAGCCTAACATCCCTTCCCTTCCCAGCCTCAGCTATGGTTAGTACTTACCTAATATCTTCCTTAACTAGGTTATGAAATTGAAAATAACATGGAATTGCAAATTCTCAGTAGGAGGAAAATTTAAATATATATTAACCCTTAATTATGGTTGAGATAACTAGAGGTGTAAAAGTAATCTGTCAGAAAGGGAAGCTGTTGGAGAAAGCCATTCTATGGACCATCTTTGTTGAAAACTGACAGTATTTTCCACTGAATTTAGACACAGGACTTACTTGCAAGTTCATTATTAATATGTTGTTTGGAGGGACAGGGAAGAGCAGAAATGCCAGATTTTGGCACTTTTCTATCTCACTGGACCCTTTAGGACTCCCATCTTACATTTGCTTTTGCTGTGAGCTCATTTAGAAAAGAGCAACAATCCTAGAATTATTTTCTTTGTGAAAAGAGAACCCTTACAGTACTTGCTGTAAGTATTCTGGTAATTTGTAGAGGTGCACATAACATGTAAGTTATGTTTTGTTTTAAACTTATAGTAAAACATGCATTTTGAAATATATTTCAAGTTGGCTGGATTCTGACAGAAGAAAACTGGAAGGGATTTAAATATTCCGACCACGGGGACAGTAGGAATTTGAAACAAACTTTCTCCTCCATTGTTTTTCATCCTGGAGCCATAAAAGTACTGGACCAATCTAGGGTTCCATTACAATGAAGATTTCTTTTACTTATTTTAAAAAAGGCTGAGCTAATCTCTCACTAACATTATTTCAGGTAGCAACTAATCTCTCCTTAAGGTAAAAAAAAGTCAGCCAGCCAGGCAAAATCAATTAACAGATTTGCTGTGCCTTTAGTTCATAGCCTACCTCTCAGGCACAGTGCCATTAAGTCAGCAATCCACTCTCCCCTGGCAACTGTGTTTTCCATTTCCCATTAATTTGATGTGGAGAGATGTCCCTGGCATTTATTGGCCTTCCCCGGCTTGGGATTGTCTAGATGTAGTATAAGACTACATCTCCTCTTTCTCATTATATGCTTTGGGGATGATGAAGTTTATTACCCAATGCATCTAGAGTCTAGACCATTGCTTTTCAGATTTGGCAACTTTAAGATGTATGGATTTTAACTTTCAAAATTCCGCAGCCACCACACTGCCTGGGGAATTCTGGGAACTGAAGTCCATACAACTTAAACTTGCCAAGTTTGGAATATACAGATCTCGAGGTTAAGGAGAGCTATGAACTTACTACACTGGCTGTGGGTGAGCTAACTAACACTTCTGTTACCATTATTCTTATCTCCCGTTTTAACAGCTATTTTTAAATGTTAACAATAAGGTGGCAGACAAGAATGAGAAAGACCATGCCAACAAATTACTGGCAGAAATGAATCAGGAACAGGTATCTCCTGCGACTTCCATTTTGTTCTTAGCTGAAGTCAAGCCCCCCATGGCAGGTGGTTATGAACTATTTCCTGGACTTCACTTTGAATATGCTTCCCGAATGAACTAGATGAGTTTTGACGCATGTTTTAAATCTAAATTTCACTGTGCTTCGAGATATGAGGTATCTAATTCGTATAATATTCTATGTCTCTTTTTTAAAACTGAGAAAAGTGAAGTCCAAGAATGGGATTCAAATTTGAAAACAATCAACTTGGTGATTCTTGTTTTAATTTTTTTTTTTACTTGCCCCTCCTTTCTTGTTTCTCTTCCCCTACTCTTTCATCTGTTTGTTGGTGCATTCTGGTGTAACAAGCTGTGGGGCTTTCTGGTATCTCTGGAATTTGATTTGAAATCTTGATTCTGTTGCCAAAAGATCAGAGTTCATATTTCAATGGACAATCTGAATCTGAGAGGGGAGACGTAATTGGTGGATTTATTTTGTAATGTTTCCTTTGACATTATGAAGAAATGAACAATATCAGTTCTATTTTTTTTCTTCTTTAAAAAAAGATATAGAGGCCTTAATATAAGAAGTTGGCATATAATTAAAAGTTAATGTAAACAATGCATGTGAATCTCCAATTCTTTTTAAATGTAATAGCAATCGAGCATAATAAATTATTGCATAAAAGTTAATTCCTCTAACATTTTATAAATTTGTTCCGATGTATTGCATTGCGAATGAAATAGTTTTTATTTATTGTTCAGGCTTACAAATTAACCAACTGATTTGAATGGCAATATACAAATATAATGTTTTAAACAGCAAAACTGTCTACCAATAAGATAAAGAAATCAAAAGACTTATGGTTCTTTTGAAAGGAAAGTACTAGGATATCTCTTGTGAGGCATGGGCTGTGAGGTGAAGATATAATTGAAGTGAGTAATTAATTTATTCACACTTTAGTATTACCCCAACTATTCGCTAAGACCAAACTGTTTCTCACCAATATGTGTGACAAAAGTTGCTCGATAAGAAACTGCAAAGGTTTTCCTTTTTCATACCACCCTTTTGAGGTTGTCCATTTAAAACATGAGATTGTCCATTAAAGCATGAGGAAAAGCTGTCAGTCAGGTTGTCTTAAATGAGTACATGTGAAGGATTCTCTTCTCCTTGAAATGGCTTCCCTTCTCTTGTGTCTTCTTGCTTATAGGCTGTGGTGTCATAAAATCCAATTCTTTTCCTGGGTTGATGATTGGGAAGCATGCCAAGGAACATTTTTCTTCATCGTGGCACAAGAAGGATGGGGTGTGCCCATTGGTCAAATTTGTCCTTATATGCCTAATATGTGGTATCTTTTTTTGGTTTTTAGGTATTCCAGGGGCAGCTGGACCATCTGGCAGTATCAGCTATTCAGGCTCTCACAGCAGTGATGCACAGATCTCCAGCTGCCAAGGTCAGCATGGCTTCCTCAGAGCAGTTGGAATTCTTGTCTTTGCATATCTCTTTTGTTGTACTTGCTGAAATGATGAGGACTAACAATAGTGCATATTAAAGTTTGAAACAAATTACAGAAAGTGCAAATGCCAGTACAGTGAGGCAATGCTACTAAGGCAGATCTCACCATTTAGCAAAATGAAGGCCACTAGACTGGATGGCTGGTATGGTACCCAGTACAAAAGTATTGTAAAGAAATCCAGCCCCTCAAGAAAAGATCTAGGTTATAACCTTTCATGTTAATAGGATAGAATACAAATGTCAGAATGTTCTTCACATTCTTCACCTGTGGTGTCACTGTATGACAATGTTTTGCTTCACTGTCTTAATTCTGCCACAGGATATTTACAGTTCAGCTGAATGTCACTAGATCTTTTCTAGCAATCTCCCATCTCTCAGATAGCTTTTGCCTGTCACAGCCTTCACCTGGGCTAGATAGAATGTGTTCTTAACGCTCCTAAAAAGTCAATTCAATGGCATTCTTCTGCAGAATATCTCTGTTCTTGGCCACTGAAGGAAGTTGAATCAATTGCCCATATCTTCTGATACTGTCCTTTTTACTCTCTTGAGAACAAAGACCCGATTTCTCCTTTCTTGGCAATATGTGGTGGAAATTTGGAACATAACATCCTTGCCCACCATCACTTAGTAGATAATTCAGCAATGATTTTCAGGCACCTAGTAAAAATGTTCCTAACTCCAATTGTATTGCAGCTTAGCTTTCCAACCCAGAGGCATCTTATATAGAATCTGATTATTTTATTGTATTTATCTGGGGGTAATTCTTGACCATGTCAACCCTTTAGTTATTATAATGAGTGTTTGAATATCTCAGTAGCTGTTTATATAGCAAAGCACAATCACATTCATTTAATGAGTAAATATTTTTGCCATTTGAATTCTGTTGAACCCCTACTCCTGTAATCTGGTTTTTAAACTTTTTCCTTTGTTCCATGCAACTTGCTTAGTCATTTTTTATCCTATTTGTTTTTTTCATCTCTTTTCATTTCATTTGTCAAGAAAATACACTCCACTTTGGCTATTGACCATACTAAAAGTTGTTGCTATTACTATTATATTAACTACTGGGGGGAAATTTGGTTTTATAATGATTATTAAGAAAAAGCAAGTCAATTGAATTTTGATTCAATATATATTAGAATTCCCTTAAAATTATGACAGGCTGACAAAGTTCTGAAAATGCATATATTGGAGCACATATATAAAGTATGACTGTTTATACTAGTGGAATTCGAATTGATCCTTATAATTCTTTATTGTTTGTTATGATAAACATTGACTTTCTTAGATATATGCTGCTAACATATACTGATAATTTTACTCTTCAGGAAGTGTTCAAGGAACGAATTGGTTATGCCCATATATTTGAAGTACTAAAATCAATGGGTCAACCTTCACAAGAACTACTTGAAGAACTTCTGAATATGGTGTGATATTTTTCTTGTTTTGAATATAATTTTAAATAGAATACCTAGGTTAAATTATTGCAGTCAAAACAACAGAGAATCTTCTGCCTCTTTAAAGGTTAGCAAGATTTAGTTTTTATACCTCCAAATCATGTTGACAAGATGCTTGAAATATAACCTACAGCTTGCATACACACAGAGGAATAAATTAAAATGACAAGGTTAGTTTGTTTTGCTAACTCATAATGCACACAAGATAGAAACAGGACTTGGTTGTGTCTCTTATCTTAGTTACAGTTTGGATTTGCATAAGAATGTCCCTAATTGCTATTTAATTCCAGTTCTTTTTTTTTCTGTTTGATGGCTTTTATGAATTTTTAAAAGTATGTACTTATGTGTAAACCTATGTACTTTATGTGCATAGGCATGTGTAAATGTTCTGCTCATTCAAGACTCTTGTTAACAGTTTAATATTCTGCATTATCTAAACCTCTTACTTTATTGAAGCAGATAAAAATTAAAAGGTATCACTTTAAAGGCTAACCAATATGTAAGTTTCAGCAGACTAATTCCAAAGAGCTAGACAAGCCAACAGAGATCTGTCAAAGCTCAGCAAAAATTATTGCCAGAGAAAAATCAGTATATCTTTCAGGGGCCACAAGATTCCTTATTGTATTCTATTTTAAAAAAATCTTGTTCTTAAGCAGAGTTTCTACACATGTCAATTGCTTGCAGTAATCTTTAATTTGCTTTTCACCAAGGCGGTTGAAGGTGACCATGCATCAGTTGGGATGCTGGGCATAAGCAATGTTCAGCCTTTGTTGCTGTTAATCCAATGGCTTCCAGAGCTGGAGTCGCATGATCTCCAAATCTTCATTTCAAATTTGTTGAAGCGGATTTGCTGCATTAACAGACAGAGTCGTGCAATTTGCGTCAACACAAACATAGTCATCCGTATCGTTGAAACACTCAACAAGCACCCTCAACTCCATGGAGCTTGTGCTGAGAACCTGATTGCCCTCTTGGGTTCTTTGGGGAGCCTGTCAATGAGCTCTGAAGAACTGCATAAGCTGATTCAGCTGCTAAGGACTAAAGACTCAAAGCTGGCTCATCCTTACGTCATTCCTGTGATGCGTGCAATTCTTACAATGGCTCGAAAGCAAGACTTGGACAGCGCCTTGCAGTATTTTGACTTGTCCCATAGCATGGCAGGCATAGCAGTGCCAGCTATTCACAAGTGGCCGGGTTCTGCATTTGCTTTCAATGCATGGCTTTGCCTGGATCAACCTCAAATGATTCCAGATGCTAGCAGCAAGGGTGGCAAGAGGAAGCAACTTTACAGGTATGGCTTCCAGGATGGAAAGGTGAAAAACCAGCCTAAGTGCAGTGACATTTCCTAGGTGGCCTGAATGATGAGTACATTTTTTGGTCTTACTAATTTTCTATGTGTATCCTATACTGCATTGTTCTAATCAAATATTATTGTTGTTTGAAACAAAGAAAGCTAGCATGCTTCAAAGGATATCCAAAATAGCATACTCTGTGGTTACCAAAGTCAGGAGTTTCTAATGAATTCTTAATTAGTTTTCTAAGACCCCAGAAGTACAAGGGCAATTCAGAAATAAACCTCCATTTGGTTATCAATGACAGACACTTGCAGATACAGAACTTTTATTATACACATTAGAAAACTACAACACTACATTACTTTTTGATATAATCACCATTCTAATTGAGGCACTTCCTGTCCTCTACCATCTTCTGGAGTCCATTTAAGCTCACACCTACTGCTTCAGTGACTCCATCCAGCCACCTCATTCTCTGTCGTCCCCTTCTTCTATTGCCCTCAATCTTTCCCAGCATTAGGCCCTTCTCCAGTGAGTCCTTCCACGACTTCGCAACTAACAACAACAAAAAATTGAGGCACTTGTCATAACATCCTACAGTGTTTGAAACTCCTTAGTAGTAGTTGTTCGGCACCAAATCTCGGGTGGGGGTGTGTGATCAAAAACATCCCAACTTAACTGCTTCAAAAGTTCTTGGGTGCATCTAACGGTGTGCAGGCGAGCATTATTGTGAACTAACACCAGAAGTGGCACCATAGAAAATCCCGCCAAATATGAAGATGCCAAAGGAGTACTGCTAGTGGAGTTCATGGAGCATGGTTTGATCATCAATTCAGAAGTCTATTGTGAAACATTACAAAAACTCAGACGAGCCATCCATAACAAGCATCAGGGCATGTTGACTTCCGGTGTGGTGTTAGTTCACGATAATGCTTGCCCGCACACTGCTAGACCGCACCAAAGAACTTTTGAAGCAGTTCCATTGGGATGCTTTTGATCACCCCCCCTCCCCATAGCCCAGATTTGGTGCTGAGCGACTACTACTAAGGAATCTCAAACCTTGTAAGACATAATGACAAGTGCCTCAATTTGAATGACGATTATGTTGAAAAGTAATGTAATGTAATGCTGTAGTTTTCTAATGTGCATAATAAAAGTTCTGGATCTGCGAGTGTCTGTCATTAATAACCAAATGGAGGTTTATTTCTGAATTGCTCTTGTATAATGGTAATTGCAGTAGGTAATAATAATAAAAGTAAAGATAATGGTAACTTCAATGTGTAAGGCCGCCTAATAAAAATGACTTGTCCATACAGTGAATTAAAAACAGTAAAAAAAACTAAACAACTCTAAATGTGGGAATAACAGTGCATTGGGAAAATACACAGAAAAACACTATCCCAAAAACCATTCAAGTGGAATCAAAAATTGGCCTGGCTAATTAAAAAATAATACAGGAACATTGGCTAGGAGAAGAAATTGTGTTTTAACTTGAATCTTTTAACAGTTGTATCAATAAACAATTGGAGGATGACATTATTTAGGATATATTTCTGAGTTATTTAAATCTACAGTATGTACAAATATATTATTATATTAGGATATATACGGATATATATGTACTTCTACAAATTGTCCAGTTTTGATTAAATTGCCAGAAGACATATTTATGTTCAATAGCATATTGTTTATAATAGAACATTTGGAATTTAATACAACATTGTTGGAGCTGAATGCCACCTACTGAAGTGGGATCATAATTTACTATATATTTATGTATTTTAAAGCTGCTTTAAGGCACAGTCTCTGTGCCTTAAAATAAAATATTTTATAAAGAGGAATTATAGTGGTACCTAAGAATGGAATTATAAAAATGTTGCCTGCAACCAATTTATAGTAAGCAGACAGTGGGGTCACCTACAGAAGAAGCTGGGGATGCAATGGGGTAGGATCTCTGACAAACCATTCCATAGCATAGTATCAGTGATGTGAATAATTGTGACAACTCCCCCCTCCCAAATGTTAAGTGTGACTATCTGATAATAAAGATGTCCTCTAAACCAGTCTTTAAGAACTTGTTGATCATTGGGCTTGGATTTGGCTTGTAGGGTATCTGCATCCCACCAGACTTTTTGCTGGTCCTCACTAATTCTGTAATCTCCCTGCTCAAAGGATCCCTAAAAGGTGAGCAGCCAGTTAATGTCTAGCAGAACTGCAGAGGACTGTGAGAGGGATGTTCAGAGGTCTCCTTCCTTGCCAACTCCATTATTGCTTTGCTAAGTGATTTATAAATCTATATATTTGTTTCTGAGTCCGTGAGTGAATGCCTTTCCACATTTTGCCTCTGGTGCTGCTGGTGTTCTGACTTCAGCTCCAGAGGAATCTGGTTCCTGAGAACTTGCCTGCTCAAAAATTTAATTATCGGGTTCAAAAAAGGTTACACTCCTGGTATGAATTAATAAGTCTTTCTACTGTACAAAGATCCAGGATGGGACTGGAAAGTATGTCTGTATGCATACATTTATAGCTTGTGTATAGTTCACAACATTCCATGTCTTAAATCCTGTTTTTTCTCTGTAGCTTTTTTACAGCTAGTGGGATGGGATTTGAAGCCTTCATTACCTGTTCTGGAATGCTAGTAGTTGCTGTATGTACAAAGAAGGAGTATGCTACTGTGATGCTATCCGACCATTGCTTCTGTGATTCTCTTTGGGTAAGAGCAGATGTTTTGAATTTTCTTCATACATAAAAGGGACCCAATGATGGATTAGGTGCTATTAGCTCTGTTTAGATTATTTCTCTAAAATGAAACGCAGAGAGTCATTTTTCTTCCCCTCTTAATTCCTGTTTTGCCTTTTTCCTCTCTTCTTGGATCATTGTACTAAACTTAGAAGTCTTCATTTAAGAATAACTTCCCTTACATCCAGACTGTCATACCTCCTAATTTGGGTACTATAAAAATGGACTATCTGAAATATAATTGAATGGGACTAGGATTGACTGATTGATTGGTTAATTACTTAATTAATGGGCATCTGTCAAGGAAGAGAAGGGTTGCATGCACAGGCACAATGCTCCTGACTGTTTTTGCTTATTAAAGCAAAATATGATGATCTACATGCAACTGTTCTGTACAACCTTTTCATTGTTTTCTCTGCCTATCACAAGTCTAACCTAAATAATCATAATACATGATTCATAAATCAGTATTCTGACTGGCATTAATCTTGATTTAAATGAGCCTGGGAAACATTTTTTGCAGAACATAGCTTTGATCTAAAATGTACAGGGGTTCTTTGTAGTAACTCCACATTCATTTAACCTAAGATTATCAATGTAAACAGCCTGGAGAAAGAGATGCTAAATGGATTTTGTACAGGGCAAGGATGGAAGATAAATGCAGTGAGGGTATAATTACAGAATTCCTACCCAGTCAGCTTAGGCTGGGAAATGATGCATCTGTACGAGAGCTCTGAATAAAATCAGGGACTATCTGGGCAGTCTGTTTTTTGCCCTTGAGGATTTGTTCTGCAGCTTCGCAGAATGCTCTGTGTACCCTCTAAATTTTCTCTCTTGCCAGTTTCCACTTTAGCCATTTTTACCAATCTAAAACAACAACGTTCCCATTGCCAACATTTTTGCCTTCCTTCTTTTCCTCAGATGCCATCTCCATTGTCAGCCCTGTGACTGGGGCGTTCCCCAACATGCTGGGTGTTTGAAAATCAGAGTACTAGCACAATTACTGAATTTCCTTTGTGAGGTTTGGCAGTGGTTGAGTAAATGTTCCTTGGTGTAAAACAATAACATCAATAAGCCACTTGTAACTGTTCAATAGAAATGATGATGATTCCTTGCTTAAATAATTTTTCAACAGCACAATATAAGCATTGTTCACATGCCTGGGAAAAGGCCCTTTGGTCAAAGCCTTGTCTATATTTATGTAAATGGACAACAGAAAGTCTCAGCACCACTTAGGTTTCCTGCCCTGAACGAAGTAAGTCTCTTCTTTGTTATTATTCCGCCTTTCCCTTAGAGACTTTTGCTGAAGTATCACCAACAAATATACTGAACTTGCCACATGGGCTTTATCCAGCTAACAGAAATGAGCTAATTTAACATGTGCCATAGTCACTTCAAAGTAGGATGATCTCCTACAGAGATTCCAGAATGATCACCAGTTTCTGTGTGAACTGAACAGGGACAAGCTCTGTGTGCAACAGTATTAGCCCTTCAGTATTTCTAGCCTCAGTGAAGGTAGAATCTTAATCTTTGAGACCCTGCATTGTATCTGCTAATTTTAAGTTTCTTAAGCTTATGCGTTTACCAGGTTTGGTTTGCCAAAGTTAATTGTTTCCCCATGTTTTAAGTTTTCATTGAAATATATATGCATGATTCTCCAAATGTTTATATTTCTCTTTTCAGTTTTGTTTACCAGAGAAATATATTTTATATTTTTTTTGAAATATATGTTTCATGAAATATTTCATGAACATGGGGTTTTTGTATAGGTTTATTAATAATATACTAATATATAATATATAATATATTATATATATTATATATATATAATATATTATAATAATAATATATTGCAAAATTTGGAAAAGTGTCAATTGATACATTTTAGTTCTTGTATTGTTCAAAACTCCAAAATTGAGTAAGATCTCAAAGGTACATTTTATCTTTTTATCTTTTTCTGGTTGAGTTCTCTGTGTATGTGCATATCCTTGGTAGAAACTCCTACTTTCATCTGAGAAGTGACACATGACAACAAAACCCAGGAACCTGTTGGTTAAAGCATGTTGGCTAAGATGGCTTTACTGAAATCCCCTTAATACCCCTGGATATATAGACTAAGCTTTTCTTCTTTTTTAAAATTATTGATCAATTTATACCCTCAAATTAACAGTAACCTAACCAAACATATCTTTTAGACACTGAAACAAATTTCTTAATGTTTTCTCTAGAATTCTTGATAGACATTTATTTGGGGATACACAGCTCATGTTTATGTTGGGTAATATTTATCTCCATGATGAGTTCTTCCCTTCTTGTGTGACTTACCGGTATTTCCGTATTAATGAGAAACAAACAAGAATATTCTCACTTTCCAAATAAAATGACCCAAATTTTAAATTTAGCAGCATACGTCTATAATGTAATAGGGCAGAAATGAAACTTGCAACCAAAACAGCTGTTTTCAAACACTGCCAGAAGAAAACACATGTGATCAAACAGATGTTCTGGACTGAAATGAAATATATTACACTAATGTTTTGTAGAAATAACTGAGACAGTGTGTCTATAAGTATAATGAATTCTTTTCTGCTTCCCCATCCACTTCATGTACAGTGTTTACTTCAGTTAGCTCCTAATACAGGATGAAAGGATAAAGGATAAAAGGTGATGAGACTTTACAGTAAATGAGCATATTTATCAGAAAGATCATATGTAGCATAAAGTTAGAGGAAAATTAATTTCCAAAACAGTGAAAATATCCATCCATCCATCATATTTGAATAGCTCTCACAAAATGCGACTCTGGGTAGCATACAATTAAAACCAAATCATAAAATGAACAAATTAAAAACATTCCACAATTTAAAGACATCGCTATTATTATTAAAAGACTAGAAGAGAGCATATTCGCCTCACTAGTTCACCATTCCTTAAGATTACTAAACCTGTTGACACAACCATGTTTTGAGGAACATCAGGACGGGGCAAGTCTCACCTCAGGGGGAATGATGTTCCACAGAGTGGGTGCCATGGCCTCAAAGGTTGGTGTCCTGGGACCTGCCCAATGGAACTCCTTAACAAACAGGAATTAAAATGTCAAAGATAGTTTAAAGAAGCCCCGTAAAATTACAGTTAACTCCCAATCAGGGACTGGCATATTGTGGCTCCTAAAGTCCTTTTTTAGGTACCTTGAAACCCTGTTGCCCCTATATACAGTATGTGTGCTTATACTGTACAGACAACCCTCTGCCAGTGACAGAAAAAGGCTCTGGGTGCATATATATCTTGTCTTCTTTTAAACTTATTCTCTAGATTATTCTCTAGATTGGATATTTTAAATTTGAATGCGTCCAATCTAATTTTAATTGTTTATCTCTTTTTTTCCACCGGGAAAAAATTCTCTAGCCGTTTACTTCTTGCTGCATTGGTTCAGCTGGTCAGAGAACAACTCTTCCTCCACCATCGCAAATCCCGGACCCACCTTTTTCACCCCCAGTTATATCCCCTCGGACCTCATTTGGGGGGATTCTTGGTCCAGGCAGCTGGAGTGGCCTGCTGGGGAAACCAGAACTTAGCACCAAGTTGATCTCAGCAGGAACTCAAGACAGTGAGTGGGGCTGCCCCACTTCTCTGGAAGGCCAGCTTGGCTCTGTTATTATATTCCATGAAGCCTTACAGCCATCTCATGTCAAAGCCTTGTATTTGGCAGGTGAGCGTTTTCAGTAGCAGATTACTTTTTCTCTGCTATTCTGACTCAAAAATTTGTCTATCTCTTTGTTTCTCTGATCTGACCATTGCTTTTCGTAACTATTTCACATACAGAGGTGGGTTTTTTTTTGTCTTTTATGAAAAACAACTCACCCTGATTTTTACTCCTATGCTGTGTTTTGCTTTCTCACTACTTTACGGACTTGACTACCCACATAATGCAATGTTTATATTCTAGTGTTCATTTTTCAGATCCTCCTTCAATTTCTTATTAAAAAGGAATCCCTGGATAATCCGACCCATGTCTGACTCACATCTGAGACAATATCAGGTTTAAACACAGTAAGGCTTGCAGAGAATATTCATGTCTCTCAGGCCGAATTGTAGAAGTATTAAGTGTATGTTGGACTGCTGAGTATCATGATTGGAATAATTCTGTTTGGGTAAATAAGTGCAAAGTAGTGATGGAGTTTTTTTCTTCCTCTTGGGAGATGTTTTATTTGTTTGTTTATTTATTTATTAGATTAAAATGAGTAATTGCTAAACGTAATACATGTTGATCTAATCTACCTCTGCTTTTCTCTCTTTGGCTGAGAATTATGGGAGTTCGGTACAGCTGCAAAATTCCAGGTTATGAAATGCTAATCTAAACAACATGTAACTTGTCTTTTAAGATAAATGTGACCTTAGAAAGAGATGAAATTCCCCATTTGGGTCAGAAAACAAGTTTGAAGTGTTAGCTGCAAATAGAGGCTTTCACTCATCTTTCTGTTACCTCTGTGAATTGGTCTGCAGCTTTTAGGGTGGAGAGAGAGTTTTCAAACTTAATTTATTTGAAACAAGAGAGAATGCAATTAAAAATGTGACCACAGACGTAAAGTTCAAAGTCTGTTTTTTTGTATGTTGAAGGTCCAAATTGTCTAACTCCTTGGAAGTCCCAAGAATCTGAACTGGCAGATTTGCCGAGCAAAATACTTCTTCACTATGCTCCCAAGGTAGTATTCTACACATTTTTCAACTACCTTGTAGATGTGATTTAGCATTAGAAGTAGAGAGAAATTGGGGGAAGGTCATTTAACCTCCAGCTGTTTGCCATGCTAACTAAGCAAAAAGTTCTCTCTTCTGAAGTAGAATACCACTGAATATCAATTGCTAAGAATGAATGAAGGTCTAAAGCAGCTCTTTCCTGCTTTGTGGCATTTCAAATACTGCCCATATTTTAAGCCGATTCATCTGCTATACCAGTGACGGTGAACCTTTTAAAGACCGAGTGCCCAAACTGCAACCCAAAACCCACTTATGTGTCGTTGGGTGCTGGGTGGGTGTGGCCCATTGGGTGGGTGTGGCCCATTGGGTGGGCATGGCCCATTGGGTGGGCGTGGCTGCGGTGGTAACGGCAGACTGGGTAGGACTAAAAAGTTCAATCAATTCCAACTTTGCGAGATCTTTTTTTTCCCCGCGAAAAATTGAAATTGATTGATTGATTGAACCTTTTTTTTGTTTGCACACGGCGGCGGAGGCCTAAAGCGAAAAGATTTTATAAAACCCAGCTGAAGGCCTAGGACTGGGGCGACGGTGCCTGTACCCACAGAGAGGGCTTGCGTGCCGCCTGTGGCACGCGTGCCATAGGTTTGCCACCACGGTGCTATACAAATATTGTGAAAAGCTTATACAGATCATCCACTGCAGTATATTTTTCAGATTTAGTTAAGGAACGTGTTGCTTTTAAACAGAATATGTACAATGAAGACTCCCTTTTAAGCATAAAAAACAAAGGCATTCTTCAAAAGGAATAATAGGGAGTAGACATGGGGTGGAGTTTGTTTAACAATGTCTTCTAGAAGATTCGAAGCCAGTCAGTCAGTTGGATTAAATAGACTAGGGCAGGGGTGTCAAACTGCCAGCCCACAGGCCGGTTGCATCATATGGAGGCCACGCACACCCCAGCTCTGGCAATGCAAAAAAAGTCACGATACGTTGCGACTCGTCACGTGACATAGCAAATGTAACACCCGTGTATGAATCTGTACTCCCATTTTACTGGGATAAGTATCTGCTTAGCAGCCACAGGTGTGTAACTGTATATAGTTGCTGAATTAGGAGGAAAACTCCCTTCCTTCTTTCCTTCCTTCCTTCCCTCCCTCCCTCCCTTCGCTTTTCTTTCTTTCTTTCTTTCTTTCTTTCTTTCTTTCTTTCTTTCCTTCTTTCCTTCCTTCCTTCCTTCCTTCCTTTTTTCTCCTCTCCTCTCCTCTCTTCTCAGCCGCTTATCGCACAAAATGTGACTCTGGGTAGCGTACAATTAAAAATAAACCTAATGTGAACAATCTTAAAAACATCCACAATTAAAAAACAATATTATTAAAAGACTATAAGAGAGCACATTCAGTGTTGCAGACAGAGTAGCTACCTCACTAGTTCACTGTTCCTTGAGATCCCCAACTCTGTTGACACAACCACATTTTGAGGGAAGGCTACCAAGATGGGATCAGTCTCACTCCAGGAGGAAGGATGCTCCACAGGGCAGGCACCATGGCAGAAAAGGCCCATCTCCTGGCTCTCACCAGATGGAACTTCTTAATAGATGGGAACAGCAACATACCTTTTCTGTCAGACCTGATGGGACAGGCAGGTATAATCAGAAAGAATCACCTATGGTTATGATAGCACTTAGAAAGTATTGCTGATTCATGAGTTTTTTTGGGGGGACAGTTGTTTTGTTATTGGGTTTCATATAAAAGAAGAGTGTAAAATATAACCCATTATCTGCTTTATGAACGTACTGTAGCCCACTTTTTTTCTTTTTCTTTTGGATAGGCCTGCAGAAGCCCTATCTGTCTTGATCTTTCTGCAAATCTTTTACATGGGAGGTTAACAGGGAACAAAATAGTGAACTGGGACATTAAGGTGAGCATTTCCAGTGGCTTAATGTTAATGCTGTGTTGTTTTATAAGACCTGGATGATAGAAATGTCATGAGAAACTTCCACATCATATAGTAACAATGCCTAGCATCAGGAACTGATTTCCCATTCCATTTTTATTTGGGGGTGAGATGGACAGTATATAAAAAAGAGTTGAACATGACAAAAGCTAAATATAAAACTGCTATATTCAAAAATGCTATGGTAGATTTCTGCTTAATAGTAATAATTCCAGATGATAAAGGAACTTCCTTCTACAGACAAATGGACTTTAGAATTCATCTCTGTGGTTCTATAGAATGTTAAGCATGGCTGATATCTTTGGCTAAATCACTGAAAAGTGAGTGCAAACCCCCTTTTCTTAGAGTATTTGTACAGAATTGGGCTTTTTGTTGTATATCTTGGGGAAAAAATTGTATCTTTTTATCTGAAACTTGAGAATCTGGATTAGCTAACTGCTTCCCTGAGAAATTGAGTTAAACGCAGCAGCTCATTATTGACTGGTTAATGTGGAACCATTTGTAGTCTTTTGTAGATCTTTATTTTCTCCTATGAAAATGCATCAAAAGATGTGTTTACCTGTGCTGATGTCATGCACTGATTTTATTTCTGAAAAATTGGCTCATTTTTTCCCCCTAAAATTCAAACTTTTCTTGGATCTACTACAGATTATTTCTGACATGTCAATTGCTCTGTGCTGTTCTAATACTTTTATGCAGGTCTAACATGTCTTTAAAAAGCTTTTCCTGTTGTTGGTTTCAGATTGGTGATTATTCCTTCTCCCCTTTGTTTCCCTCACTCTGTTGTATTTCTAAAGGATATGATCAACTGCATAGGCGGATTAAATGTTCTGTTCCCATTGCTGGAGCAGAGCAGTTACCTTGATGGGCAATTGCCCGAGAGGCCAGAGATAGACCCTCTGTCCCATGAATTGTTGACACCTGTTGAAGGAGATTGGGTTGTATTAACCTCCACCAAAGCTTCAGGTAAGGACATGATTAGCCTTTTCCATCGTTTTAAAGAGAGCAGTGGACCAAACAGAGATGCATTCCCCGATTTTAATATCTTCTATCATTATGTGATAGTTCTACTCCCCCCCTCCTTAAGCTAACGTCGACATTCCATTTTTACAGAGGCTCGTTTGGAGAAGAACATCATTGCGACCTTCATCTTGATGATAAAGCATTTCATTCAAAGGCATCCAATCAACCAGGATAATTTTATTCACACTCATGGAATTGCCACCTTGGGAGTCCTTTTGCAAAAGGTATGCAAAACTACAAAATAATTTGAATACTGTATATTGTGAGCTTTTGTTTGCATATCAAATCCAATTTTGCATCTGTGAGATTTGAAAGTTATAATTGCTTTAAATTACCATATTTTGGCAAATTTTGATCTGAAGTTTGAAATACCTTTAGAGGCTCATCTTCCTAAGCTTCATCTCCCTAAAATGCAAGCCTTTCGTTTTATGAATAACAAAAATGCTTAGAGAAAAAAAGCTAATGAAGATATTTTGTTTCAGGATATATATTGGATGGACCTTCCAAATATCTTATTTGGATAATTTGCCTATTCTTCATTGTGTTACAAATGTATCTATGGTACATATATAGTCTTGGGCTGCTTATAAGACAGTTATTGGTTCTTCAGTCAGGATGATAATCTCTTCTTGCCTGCTTTACTCCCACTCCCACTCCGAGTGTGCATAACATTGTTAGACTGATGCTTGAAGGCCAGCATGGGAAGGTGGGAGATTGTCGGAAAGACCATTTCTTCCTTTGCTTCGAGAGACAAGTACTATAAACATTTCTGTTGAAAACTTGGCAGACGTTTTTCACAAATGAACAAGCAAATAATAAAAAAAGTGACTCTAAAAAAAAAATCTTCGACAACAGCCTATTGTTTGAAATATAGAAATCACTCTGTTTGGGTTTTTTTTTCTTAACAAACAGTATAGTCCCTCCTTTTTTTTAGGTGCCCAGCAGATTCATGGATGTGAATGTACTAATGGCAGTCCAGTTATTGATAGAACAGGTCTCTGTGGCGAAAAATGTCCACCTTTTGCAGCAAATGCATCAGCACCTACTTTTTGACTTCAGCATATGGAACCGTGGGGACTTCCCATTCCGAATTGGTGAGCTTGTTACTGTTGTAACAGTTATGATTTTACTTAATACCCTTTTTATTGATTATATAAGCACTAAAGAAAACACAACAATACCATCAGTGCAGTTGAAATCAAAAGGAATATAGTTTTACTAGACAACCTATGACCGATTGAGTCATCTTACCTAAACAAAAAAACCAGTATGAGCATAGGTGGGTAAAAAAAGCAGTGGGAGTGAGAGTGACTTCTAATTTCCTGCTGGCTTCCCCATTGACTTTGCTTGTGGGAAACTGGCAGGAAGCATCGGAACTTAAAATCAACTGAACATCATGATAGTATAGTGGCCACAACTTTGCGAATACAACTGGTATGAAGATCTTTGAAATTTCAGTGACGGGAGTATTGAGTCTTAAATTTTGTATGCATTCCGATTTGAGGTACCTTTTGTACAATGATGTACTTTTTGGCTAATTGAAAGTTACAAACAGACAAATAGAGTTATAGTAGTAAATGAATAGATACTCTTAACTTAAAGTGAACATTGCAACATAATATGCTTTCATTATGATGGCCCCGCCTGAGTTCTAAAGAAATATAATTAGGCTGGCATGTTACAGGTTGAACCCAATGAAAAGGGGATGAAGACAAGACTTTTTATTTCACCCCATTGCTGCTGGAGCTACAAATAGGGAGCTACATATCATTTAACCCTGGAGTTTTTCCCCTTCCTTTTCTTGAACAAGAGTAAAGCAGTAGAATCTATGCCATCTCCCACTGGATTTTATGAAATGAAAAGAGCTTTTCTGGATTTAGATCAGGCTTTCTGGGGCAAGAAGTAGGAAGAAAATAAAAGCAGATAAATGCCTCTAAAATATGTCATGGTCTGTGAGCACAATTCATGCTTTTAGGCTCTTAGCTGTGCTTACCTTAAACCATGGCTTAAAGTGTTGCTCTAATCAGCTTTCACTTTGCTTTTGCTGGAACGTATGTGAGGTTGAAAAACGGGTTCTGGGATCATACATCTTTGAGCTGATTGCAAGCATATAGCTGGGGAAGAAATGCTTGTGGGGCTTAGAAAAGGATTGGGAAATTGGGATATAATATAGGAGGTTTGGCTGAGGTCAATTCTGATAAATAAAATCCTGGTACTCTTTATCAATATGGACTATAGATAGATCACATACAGGTACATCTTGATTTAACAAGCACAGTTGGGACGAGAATTTGGGTTGCTAAGCAATGTGAGTCATGCCGAATTTTAGGCCCTTATTTTATCACAGGCATTAAGCAAATTTCTGGGGTTGTGAAGCAAACCTGGCTTCCCCCCGTTGACTTTGCTTGTTGGAAGTTCCCTGGGGAGGTCACACGTGATCATGTGACCCTAGAATGCTGTAACTGTTGTAAATACATGTTGGTTGCCAAGTGCCTGAACTTTAGTCATAAGACCGTGGAGGGCACTGTGATGGTCATAAATCTGAGGGCTGGTCGTATGTTGCTTTTTTTAGCACCGTTATGACTATGAATGGTTGTTAAACAAGCGGTCCTCAGTTGAGGATTTTCTATACCTAATCAGTGATCCATAGAGTTTACAGGTCTGGCTACTACAACCTTATTCTAATCGGGACTTCTGATTTCTTTCTTAGGCCATATCCAGTACCTTTCCACAATTATCAAAGATAGCAGAAGGCTCTTCCGAAAAAAGTACGGTGTGCAGTTTTTGTTGGATACGCTGAGAATTTATTATGGGTATGGAATCTTGTATTCATGTTTGACTTGGTCTTTGCTTTTCAAAGTCCAATTCTTTTTCTACATGCTGGAAACTCTTTGAATCTTTGAAAGACACCATATAAATATTGAATTGCTGCTATTGCACTATGCTGTGATTTATTTCATTGTGGTTTTAACTGTAGTTTATTGACTAAACCACAATTATCTTGGTTCAGTTGCATAAAGCATAGTTTAACCCCCTCTTTTATTATTTGAAAATAAAATAAAAGGCCTCCTTCCAAACACTGACAATAAACAGACGTTCAGTTTAAAATCATACTGTAGCATTCATATAAAAATATTTTTAAATGGAAAAACTAAAATATTTTTTAGTCTTTCTTTTTAACTAGTATAAATACATCAAAGAGAGGGTTTTATAAAGGATTACTCCCCTCCCCCATTTCTTTATTTTTATGTCTTTTAAAACTCTTACATTTGAGATCCATTCTGCTGTCAGTCTGGAAATCAGCCCTGAAATTCTGCCCTGACGACATCAGTTTAATGGACACAGATACTTAAGGAACAAGAAGGAATGGCTTGTGAAAAGAAAATAGTGTATATTAGAATTGATTATTATATTTTAATTGACAATCCTTGTTTTTGTTAGAAACCACCCTAGGGACAGTGACTTGCTTCCAGATGATCTTAGGACAATCAGGACATCTCTGTATGGACTAATCAAATACTTCTTGACCAAAGGTGGGACACATGAGGAAGTCCAGAGCGTAATCGGATACATAGCAGCCACGAGTGATGAGGAGCAGGTAACTTATTATGTCTGTTCTCTTCATCTCTTCTTCCCTCTTTTCCTGTAATTGTCTATAACAATGGAAGGAGCCACCACCATCAATAAAACAGGTGCAATGAGTAAGGGGGTAGCCGGAATCACTGAAGGTGCATGTATTTCACAGAATAACCAAGCTCCCTCAGTTCCCCTCTCCATTGCACAGGGATTTCCTTTTAACACTATGAGGATGCAGTGTTTGCACAGATTTGTCTGGTATGCCAGTTGTACCCCTTCCTGGACCGGGAGGCCTTGATTACAGTCACTTATGCCTTGGTCACTTCCCATTTTGCATTTATTTATTTATTTGTCAAATTTTGGAACCGCTGATCTCATTCTCAGAGTGACTCTATGCTATTCATGGGGCTGCCTTTGAAAACCATCTGGAAGCTATAACTTCCAGTGGGGTGCACAATACAGTGAGGTGTATAATGATGGGTGCCGCTAGGTTTACCCATGTTTCATGTCTGTTGCATGAGCTGCAGTGGCTTCTGGTTTCCTTCTGAGTGAAATTCAAGGGACTGTTTATTACTTTTGAAGCCCTATACTGCACAGGGCCAGATTATCTGTGGGACTGCATCTCCCTAAAAACATCAACCCTCCTACCAGATTTGATAGGGTGGGCATGCTCCTGATCCCTTCCTTTAAATATTGCCATTTTGTGGAAGCTAGGAAGATTTTGTGGAAGCTAGGAAGCATGCCTTCTCCATAGAAGCTCCTACCCTATGGAGCACTTTTTCCCCTGAAGTTTGGCAGACCCCACCCCACCCTCCTAGCCTTTCCAAAAACTCTTTAGGACCTGGCTCTTCCCCCAGGCCTTGAGATAGAATGAGATTGATGAGAGGGTGATGCACTGCTTGTGAAAGTTTATTATGTTCCCAGGTTGTTCTTATTAATTATTTGTGGTTTTAATCGATAGATGCATATATTAATTGTATAATGATGCTATTTTGGCTATTGCTTTGGAGCCACCCAGAGTTTGGTGTACTATAAAAATATTTTAAATGAATAAATACTGCAGCATATAACATAGTGAATGTGTGATTTTTGCTGTCCATAAGCTCTTAATTGTAGATCCAAAGCTCATCTTGTCCAATTCTTGTCTTGGCATCCAGATTTCTGTTGTTCTTTTCATACAGTAATTTTTAAGAATTAGACTGAGATCACCTCTTAACCAACATTTGTTAACAAATTACTTACTATCTCCACAAACTAGATCTATGGCTGCTGTGTCTAGTCTGGATCTTTCCTTTCCCTTCACAGAAATTGCCCTGTCGGGAGAAGCAGTAAGATTGTCTTCTCTTAGTGAGGATGTCATGCTATGGCTGGAGTGGTCAAATATCAGAAACTCCCAGCAAAAAAGCTGAAATCTATCCTGTATCATCATCAGTTTACTGGGTGTATTATAGTCATTTTGTGGAAGGTTGCATAATCTGCTTATTTTGTGGAGGTTCACTAAGATTTTAGTAGCCCATTTCTTATATGCCAGGTGGTTATTAGAAACTTGCAAGAATAAGTTGATTTGTGTGTGTGTGTGTGTGCGTATGTGTGTCCTCTTTTCTCCATCTCTTTTTCTTTTGTGCTGCAGTTTTTAGGCTGTAAGCCTAAGGAGAGGTAATTTCTTTTTATTGATTGATTGATTTAAAAGCTGCTCTGATAAGCCTTTCCAGATAATAATGTAATATATTAGAACAGAATAAAAATGTTCATGGAAAACATTGTTGGGAAGACTATGAGGTTATGTGAGGCTCCCCGAACGTTAACAAAATCCATCATTTTTTCCTGGTACTTTTTAAAATTATTTGAGCAGCCACGTATTTCTCTGTCTCCTGTTCTTGCAGATCTCTTTATCTCTGCTATAAGTATCTATGCAGAGGAGATTCAAAGTTCAGTTATATTCTGAATAAGCTGAAAAAATGACCCTTGTCTGAATAACTGGGGCAACTCTTAACAGGAGTTGTTGCTGTTTGCATTTTCAAGCATGCCTATATTTCAGATAAGTCACTGGTGACTAATGTTGTTGGAATGATATTGAATGTCAGGAATGACTTTGCATTCTAGATTCGTAGATGATCATCTCTGTGTGCCCTTTTTTTCTCTTTTCCCCCAAGCTGTATGGGATTCTAGACATGCTCTTCAACCTGCTTAACACCTGTCCAACCCGAGATCAGCTTTTCTTATTGCTTTTTGAGCCAGGAAATGCAGACATCCTTTATGCTCTTCTACTGAATCAGAGGTATTCCGATAGGCTACGAGAACTTGTGTTCAAGGTAAATTTTTTTTTTTTACATCTCTCCTAAAGTGATTGATAGTATTAGTAAGGTTGTGGATTTTATATGAAACATGGATTTTTTTGGAAGAAGGAACAAGGCATAACTCCTCTTTCAAATTACCTTGTATTAAGTTTAGGGAATTGACAAATACTTTTTCTTCTGGGAGATATTTGGACAATTGATAGAGAGATACCAATGTATCTTAAGTAGGTCCATGAGGTCAGGAAAGAAAGCTTAATCTGGCTTCCGTATGAGGATTGTGTTTCTGCATCTCATTTTCTAGCAAAATCACACACAATCTAATTCAGTTTTGTGATTTGCACATTCCGTTTCCTACATAGACATCATTTGGGCTACAATCATGGAAACAATTATTTTATACTGTGTAGTGTAACGTCCAGAAATCAACAGGGAAATAATAAAGAAGAGTTAAAAAAACAGAGTCACTTTTTCTATGAACGTCCATTTGAATTCTGTTTTTCCACTGAGGTCTTGCCTGCAGGTGGACCTTGCTTGGGGTAAACAAGCTACATAGGCACTGCAGAATTTTCAGTTTGTCCCCTGCTGAGAAGTTCATATATTTTTTTCTTGCAGATTGCAGAGCAGATGCTGAAATGCACTAAAGTTTATGAACGGAGCAAACAACGTATGAAACTCAGAGAAGTTGGCTATTCTGGACTGGGTCTGCTCCTGAATGAATCTCCACTTAGCACTTCTCTTATGAAGAACCTTTTCAACCAAATTCTGCATGCTGGTACTCAAATGTTTATTAGCTTTTCCACACAACACATGCCCAGTATAAGTGCTGTAAACTGTGCAAATAGCACAAATGTGGCTAGCTAGCAAAATAGCAAACATATATTGATAGCCATATTTTTGTGCTTTTATGGCATTTTGATATAAATGAATTTCTTTATTGTTGTAATCCATTTCTGTACTCTGCAGATCCAATTGTGAATTGCAAGGACTTTTTAGCTGTGGTGCACTTGGCTCACAGAGCAGATCTAAACGTAAGAGTGGCTGCCTGTCAAAAGGTTAGTCTCCTTGTGGGGAGGGCACATTAATACTAAATAGTGGTCAGCCTATTAATAGTCTGGAAAATAATTGTGGATTAGGATTTCTTAAATACTTAGTGAACTCTTCAGACCATTGCTCTTGTGGAGGTAACTGCAGAGTATAAGATGCAAGTACATCCATCTCCCTTAAATAATATGTCTATCTTCAATAATATTCCTGCTGATGGTGCACCCTGAGAGAAATTAGGATCTAATGGCTAGTGAGACAGCTAGTTCCATCAAAGTCATAAGAAGACAGTCTGCAAATCTATTATCAGAACACGGGATAGATGGGAACTCCTCTTCCTGTCCAAAACCAGGATAGGCCTTGGCAGTCACTGGCTTTCTTAACAGTTTTCATAGTTCTTGCAGTAAGATCTGCATTTTTAATGCTAACCCTATCTTTATATCTATAGAGAGGGAGATGTCTTTGAGGAAATAAGCAAGAACCACTGATATATAAACAAAGAGGGCTGAAACAGTCCTTAAATCCTGGGAAACAAGGTAGTATTGAGGCAGATTAGTTCAGACTGAATCTCCTGATTCACTGGGATATAAGAGGGATGGTAGGAAAAGCACAATCTGGCATGCAGGATTCCGTTATCAGATCTTCTGTCAATAAAATATAGTTTTAGTCTTCCTGTGCAGTTGTTTTTCCTGGTGTGGCCTATCCATAGGGCTGACAATATCTGGTTCCCTTCATCTGTTTTTCACAGCACAATGAACATAATCTGAGAAGAGCATTTTTCAGTAGCGCTCTGTGAGTTTTATATCTTTGGCATTCAGAGCTTTCATTTTTATGATGTCTATGTGTCCAGTATACAGAAATACATACTGAAATTAAATTTACTACTTTTGAAAAGAAAAATGTGGGCATTGTTTAAGAATTAAATAATTATGGAAAGGATTCTATAATTGGGCCTCTTCTTCATGCCCCTCTAACCCTAGCACCCTAATGTTCCCCATATCATTTCCTAAGGACATATCCTCATAAAGCAGCTTCCATCTCAGTCTTCTGTCAGCATTCTGATTCACCTGGAGAAGGAGCCTAAGGGAGGTTGGTAACTTGCACGTCTCTAATTATCCTGCTGCAAGGCCTCACCCTCCCATCTGGCCATGGGGCTCTGTGCTTCCATGGCCATTTCTGCTTTAGCTGCTGGAGAAAAAGCCATACTAGCAACCAGAGTCCGTCCATCCTTCCTTCCTCCCTCCCTCCCTCCCTCCCTTTCTCTCTCTCTGTCTGAGAGAGGAATAGCAACTTAGTGGAAAGCATTCTATGGTTTTGCTCTTCCTACTGGTAACATTTGCTTCTCCCTCTGCCCCCACCAGGCAATCCCTCTCCAACAGATGTAAGTCCTAGCTTCCCTGGTTCACCTTCCTTTTATTGCTCTTTCCTTAATTTCTAGAGTTCCTTTTCTTTAGAAGCTGTAGAAAGCATGCTGCTGGGAATATGGGAAAGAGCCCTAGCCAAACTGATGTAAAGTTAATAACAATCAATGCCCTATTCATCTAAATGGGGCTTTTCTAAAGATGGTTCTATTTAGCTTAGTACTTACAATGTACATGTTCATTTAACGCTTCCCTGGCTATTAAGTTAGTTTTAGTTTATAGGTCTAACAGAAAGAAGGATAAGTAGATGTATAAGAAACTGAGAACGTTATTTTATTTTATTTCATTCAGGAAACAAAAATAAATCTTAAAACACAAACCTTTTACAATGTATTGTATTTGAATCCATGTTTTCGGTAGCTTTTGCAAATCCTACATGCCCAACAAGATTCAGCACAACAGATTTCTCAGCAACTTGGGTGGCAGGAGACACTGTCTCGACTGTTCCTGAAAGAGCATGCTGATGTCAGGGATGGTGTGAGGGACACCAAAAGTGACTCTACTAAAGGAGATGACAAGCGTGCAAAAGACCATCAACAGTGTCATACTTCCAAGGCTGATGGGGAAGATGGTGCCAGTTTTGCATCTGTTAATGGTTCCTGTGATCAGTGGAGCTTAGAAGATGGCAAATCTGCGACAGTGACATCTGCGACATCCATGGGGGAGATGTCATTTAGACCTGAGGATCAGGAGGACTTGTGGCAGAAGAATCCTTCACATTTAAGCTTAGACCTCTCAAGTGTTGACTCTTATGAACTGGGTGAAAGTGGGAGCCAGATGGCTGATAGTCTGCCCAGCACCCCTTCCCCTATTGAGAATACAAAGACATTTTCTGGACAGCTTGACAAGGAACCAAATGCTGCAGAAGAGCTGGTTTTTGCTGCTGATCTTTCCTTATTTGAAGTTCATGAGGTACATGGCTAAAAGACCTCCTTGCTCGGTGGTTCTGATTTTTTAAAAAATAACATTAAACAGTAAGAATTCAGTGAGATATCCCCAGTGTACATAAATGCACACTTGATGCTCCTGCTTCTCTCTCAAGTCTGGCTGTTACCTCCATCTGGGCTGCTTGAGAGTGTAAGCAGACAAGTAGTTAGCCAGTTTCCAGATATGCATCTCTTGGAAGAGCCATGAATCCTCTTCTCTCCTGATATTTCAGAAATGCTTTGGTTGGAGCATTATGGTTTTTAATTTTAATTATATTTATACTGGCTTGATTGATGGTTGCCATCTAAGGTTACATTGTATAAGATGGGTGACGTGCATTTTTTCAACAAATTAATATGAATGAATGAATGAATGAAAGTGAATGAAAGGAATGATTGAATGAATGAATGAATGAATGAGAGATGCATCTTTCTTAGAACTGTCCATGCAAATTGCTCTGGGTGATTTATTTTCTTATTTTTAGTTTCTTGCACTTTGCACCTATTTTTAGGCTGCCCCTTTCAGTATGTTGCCTTTTCTTTGTTTAAAAAAAAACCAGTGTAAGATATGATTGTATAGTTTTCTGGGCCCCATCAGTCAAAAAAGCTGCCCATTATCATTTTAGAATCTGTAATACCAGCAGTTTTTAATATAAGCTGTGAATCTTTGTTACAAAGTAGAATTGATCTGCTCTTTATAAGTAAAATTAGGAAGATGTTTTTCAAAAATACTGTAATCTTTTAAAATGCATGTCTGTTTTTTTTCTAGGCATGCGAAGAAGATCTCCTTCAGCTTCTGACAGATATTTTGCTTTGTGTGATGTGGAAAGGCATCGAAAGATCAGATGATGCAGCTTGGACTGAGAAGGGTCAAGTTTTTTCTGCACTTACCAAATTGGGCATCTCTAATGAATTACTACGACCATCAGATGAAATTAAACTCAAGTAAGTCAAATTATTACTTTTTCAAAATTTGTTTTATGGAAAGAAAAAAGTGATAATGGAAAGCAGAAAAGAGAAATGATGTTAATGTGGCCTGAATTAACAGTATAAACACCACATATGTTATAAAATATTTAAAGAGAAGAAAAAAGGTGCTAAAAAGTTAGTCCATATTGCTCAAAAGTATCTTTATTGTCTCTTTTTTTAAAAATTGAGTCCGTCCTTACAGTATTCCGTAATGTAAATGGCACTTATTTCACAAATCAGTGGTATTTCCAATGTATTATAATTCTTACAGTTATCCCCATGTGCAAAATGATATGGCAATGGTATGACAAGTCAGACCATGTGAGTTAATGGTTCAGTTCTTGAATTGCATCAATAAGCAGAGATTTTTAACAAATCCATACTGAATAGTATTATTTGTTACTTGTTAGATACTGAGTATCTACAGTTAACAATACAGTTAACCCACTGCCCTGCTGTTTGTGGGTACTATGATGTTTATTCATCCTCAAATTCCATTTTGAGCCCTGAGTTCTGTGCAAGATGGTCCAAATATTCAGAGATTGAATGTCCAAAAGAGGGTCTTACCTCTTTGTGAGAAGGGCCCAATGTACACACGCAAAATAATTTTACGTATATTAACTGCATTTAAGTTCAACAAAAATTAGCTTCTTGTATATTCACAAATCAGACATTCTAGACCCAGAAACTGAGTAAATAGTGAATACTGATTTGATTTGCTTCCTTCCATTTCCTATTGAAAGGCATGCTAACTAAAAAGCTTTTTAAATTCTTACCTTTTATTGAACAAATGCAGAATTTCAGACACGGCAGTGATAGCAGGACCAAAATGCCCACATAGCAGGTGTTTATATAACTTAAAGAGCACAATATCCACTTTCCTCTGTCAGCCCATGCGAGTTCTTCCCACTTGGAGAATCACCAGAATGTGATTATTCACTTTTTGGGGGTATGCAAGGCAAAAATGGAATGGGTAAAAATCTATTTATGTATTTATTTATTTTTTATTAAATTTATTTGTCATCCATCTTGCTGTGGGGCTACTCTGAGTGACCTACAACAATAGAATAAAAATTATAAAAAATGTAAATATAACAATAAAACATAATGAAAGTACAGCAACATGAATCAAAAGATGGGCGAGGAGGGAGCCGGAGACATGGGATGAGGTTGGAGGTCTGCTATTATCCTAGTAGCCACCTCCAGTATGGTACCCCCATGTTGGGTCCCAAGGGCAACTGGCAGAGCCAGGTGTTCAGGCTTGTACAAAAAGACAGGAGGATAGGGGCTTTTTGGCTCGACAAGAGCAGCCCTTTAAAACAATGGGACTTTCTCATGGGAACTCTTCTGTTTGACAATCCAGAGTAATTCATTTGAAAATTAAGGTAGAACATAACTTTGTGTAACATCCGAGAACATAACTAGACTATTTCACAGAATATAATTTCTTGGTTTGCAGTGGCAAAAGCTAGATAATAACAATGTTGGGTTTAGTTCTGTTTTCCTGCTGCCTTTCCATCAGTAACTAACATTCACAAAAGTTGCTTATTTGGTGCCACCTCTTTCTCTTTAACTTAGTTTGCTAGAGAAGATGCTGGAGTGGGCAGTCACTGACACAAGAGAAGCCAAATCCCTCCCAGTGTATGCTGAAAATGCTTTCCGGCTCTTGTTCATTGTTCAGGATTTCCTGCAAGCAGAAGGTCTTGTGAATTCAAGACTCTGGACAGAAAAGGTCAGTATGAAACTATATGGCAAGAGCTTTGGAAACATGTTATCAGGTGCCATTGCTTAGTACATTTTCATCCTCTTTGAAAATACAAGAAATTGATTTAAACAGCTACATTTAAATCTACATGGATTTGCCCCCAAATATTGTTGGAGTATTTGGTAAATTCTCTAAGAATATTTTTTTCCAAATTTAATTGTTAAATGTAAGTTTTAAAAACTTTAGAATTAATCAAGAAATACATTTTAAGGTTTAATCAAAGATTCTGCGAGGAAGAAATGAACAAACAGTGATAACAAATGTTGCTGTTTGGCAATTTCTATTCTCTGCTTGACATTTACCTTCCACTTACAAAGCTTCTGTGAAATGAACAGTTGAATTACTTCACCAGTATTCTTTTCTCAGTTTTTCCCCTTCCTCCTTTTTAGGTGACAGTGTTGTCCATAAGTAGACCTGACTATGTCAGTTATGCTCTGTCTGTGCAAGTCAGTCTTGATTTGTTGTGATTATCCAGACAAATCCATACAGCTTTCATGGCAACATTTTTGGAAGTGATTTACCATTGCTTCCTTCTTAGGGGTAAGGAAGAGCAATTGACTCCAAAGTCACCCAATGATTTTCCATTATGGATAGTCCCTGCCCAATAATACTGTACTCACTGCTTTATCACATTGGCTTCTGCTTTATGACACTGTGTGACTCTTCACCTTCGAACATTTAACCAGGTGTGGGAAAAAAATAAGGATCACTTTTCCCTAGCAAGGGTTTAACATAAAAAAATATTTTCCAACTCTTCCGATCATCAACAAATGATAGTAAAATCTATCAAAATCCTCCCATTGTCAAATAATCAGACTTCGGTCATTCTAATTCTATAGTAGTTTTCATCAATCATTATATAGTTTTAATTGTGAGAGAATAGAAAATGTTTAAAAGAACGTAATTGAACATTATATTTTCTTGTGTCCTGGGCAATGCATTTAATCTTCCACAGTTTACAGTCTGACCTTTTTTTGTCTTAATTCTGGATTTAATTTTGCACAGCTTTTGGAAGAACTGGTGACCCTCATGGATACTTTGTCAATCTGGTACTCTTCTGGCCTAGAAAACGTGAAGCTGTATCAAGTACAAATCCAGCTGCTTCTTGGATTCATTGGACAAGATAATTTACAGGTGTGTTCCATTATTGAAGGTTTCTGTGCACAAATATGATAAAGTTTGATTTTCTTTTGCAAAGAAATATGTTCTGTCAAATTTGGGGTGTGAACATCTTTACTTTACTTTTTCCCCATTAATACACCAATAAAAGATAACTTTGGTACTTGGATGGATTTAAAGTATAATTGATCAATGTATAAATGTATGAGAATGTCTAAATACAATTTGGGAAAAAGTAACAGCTTCTGCTTTCTCTGATTAGAATATGTTATTGTATAAACTGTGGTCCCATTCTTTTGTTTAGGCCACTGATTTGTTTCAGATGGTAAATGTCCTTTATATTAATTCCATCTATCTGTGGAGAAATTGTGAATGCGAGCTTCATCACAATAATTTCTTCATAATAAATCATAGTTTATCATTAGTTTAGAACACAGGTGTCAAACTCGATCGCGTCATGTAACCTATCGTGACATATCACGAGATTTTTTGTCTTTGCAGAGCTGGGGTGGGTGTGGCCTGCATGTGACGCATCTGGCCCATGGGCCGCCAGTTCGACACCCCTGATTTAGAATGTCATTTTTTAGCCTAACGTGCTTAGAGAGACTTTGAAAGGATTCAGGAAGAAGCTGTATATATTTCTGAGACTTCTTGAAAGAAGGCTTGAATATAAATATAAATAAATAAACAATAAATACATTATATGGTGAGCATATGCTAATAATCAATATATAATTTGGATGCACTAATAAATGCTTTTGATATGTCTAATTTTATTGAGTTGTGCTTACATGGTTATCATAATAACAACTAATAAGACCTGAGCCAACCGAAAGTCAGGAATATGTGTGCAGTGCTTTGAGTTATAAAGAGAAAAGGCAAATGTGGATTCTCTCCTTATGTAATAATTTGCTTCCTGCTAAGCTTCCTGCTTTACTTAATTTATCTTGGGACAATGATATCAAATGGGAACCAACAAACTGCAAAACAAACATCAGCCTCAAATACTACCTGAAGTTTCAGTAATGCCTCTAGAGCACAGAAATGCCCTTGGAAAGGCTTCAGCGCAGTGAGTGTCTTGTGATTGGTTACAACCACCATCAAAAACATTTCATTAGAGTCCCTTTAGTGTGCTCTCAAAATTTCAAATCTGGCCCAGGACCCCAAAATGTATGAGATTTGAAGAGATGCAAGTGGAGAATTGAAATACTTTTTGGGGAAAATGTATACCTGTAACTTGTTATTTATATTGGTCGACTGTCGTTTTTCTTCCTGTTTGCCCCTGCTCCAGATTTGTGCAATGGCTGCAGCCAAGCTCAACACCCTTCTTCAGACCAAAGTGCTTGACAACCAAGCGGAATCCTGTTATCTGCTGGGAAAACTGGAGGGCATCCTGAGCAGATCAATCCAAGAAAAGACTGAAACTTACTCCTTCCTGATCCCTCTAGTTCGAACTCTTATTTCCAAAATATATGACCTTCTGTTCATGAACTTGCACTTGCCTTCCTTGCCTTCTACTAATGGAAGCCCTTCCTTTTTTGAGGACTTCCAGGACTATTGTAGAACTGATGAATGGCAAGCTTACATCGATAAATATGTAAGTTGTGATTTCTTAAAATGCTTTTTCTCTCCAAAAAAGGGAGTGTGTTTTAAACTTCTTACCCTTTATGAACTAGATTACCCCTAATATGAAGCAGTACGAGCTCAGCATTTTCAGTGATGACAATGAACGTATGGCGCTCTATTGGAAGGATTGCTTTGAGGCCCTCATGGTCAACATCCATAAACGGGAACGAGAGAGAGGAGAAAGCAAGCTCAAATTTCAGGTAAAATCTGAGTGACTTTTTCAGGAGTTTGCCTGAGCAAGAAAATCATGTGAGGATGGCAGTACAGGTAGTCCTTAACTTACAACCACAATTGATGCCAGAATTTATGTTGCTAAATGAGAAATTTGTTAAGTGAGTTTTGCCCCATTTTATGATTTTTCTTGCCATATTTGTTAAGTGAATCGCTTGTTAAATTAGTAACACGGTTGTTAAGTGAATCTGGCTTCCCCATTGACCTTGCTTGTCAGAAGGTCGCAAAATATGATCACATGACCCTGGGACACTTCAACCGTCATAAATATGAGCCAGTTGTCAAGCGTCTGAATGTAAATCGCGTGGCCATGGGGAGGCTGCAAAAGTCGTAAGAGTGAAAAATGGTCATAAGTCACTTTTTTTGGTGCCATTGTAACTTTGAACAGTCACTAAACAAACTGTTGTAAATCGAGGACTGCCTGCATTTTAAGACTGGATTCTGTAGGACACGGTGCCAACCATTTATCTTTGACAGTGAAGGGACAGAACT